TCTTAAACTTTAATCATAATGTTACTTAATACTGTTTGGCGTTTAACTCCAAAGTGTGACGGTAAGCTATAAAACGATGTTAATAAAAACAAAGAATGTTATGTTAAAATTGAATGCGTTCATACTGCAGACAAATTTTTTCATAAATTAATTTTATTTGACAGTACAATTTACTTGGCTTAGGATAACAGTAAAATATGCTTTCAACGGTCATAAAATATTTGAAAAAATATTATTTTTGTGTTTCAATTACCTAAACTTGAACAATTGCATAGAAGAAATCAGACTAAAACTGTTTGATTTTTTTAGTCTTCCGCTTCAAAAAAAAAAGTTTTTTTTTTTTTTTTTTTTGAACAAATAATTGTTGATCATTTGATGTTATTTATTACAAAATTTCTTTTTTATTATCTTAAAAAAGTTAAAAATTAAGGCAAAAATTTAAGTGCAACGGAATAGCTGATAAACTAATAATTTCACACTTACATTTTTTTGGCAAAGTAATCCAGTAAAACGCAGTATTTATGTTTAACCTAAAAAAAAATTTAACAAAGGAAAAGTTTCTTACAGTTGCAATAAGTGACGATTGATATTTGTGGTTAATGAAAAAAAAAAACAACTTGTGCTTTTCAAACAGAATATTTTAGTTTCTTCTCACTTTTTCTCTTTTTTGCTTTTGTTATTTGCACCTTTAAAGAGCAGTTAGTTTTGACGAAAGAATAAGTCAGCATTAATAACGTTTTTTCACAATATCCAAACGTGTTGTGCATACCACACACAGCTTATCAATCATAAAATTTTTGTGCAGTTTATAGTTTTTCTCCTTTTTTTTTTTTTTTTTTGCTTCTGACGTAAAAACAACAAAAACCACAAAAAATCCTCTTTTTTTCGCTAATAGTCTACGTGAAAATCACGTAATGTATTCTGTTGCTTTGATTTGCTAACAATTATTCGTAAATTTAACAAAAAAAAGCCAAAAATTAATAGTGATAAAGAAGTATCTTTGATAAAACGGCGTTAAATACAGTCGCTGCAAAAGACAATTTCAGTGAACATTGAAACATGAACCTTTTTGCACTTTAATAACTATCTGCAAGAACTTACCTATTTATCACCCAAAACTAACTTTATTTTTTTATTACTCATTAATTATAATGTGCTTTAATGGTGCGTTTCTTTCTGACAAATATCAGTCTCTTAATTTAGCTGACAAAAAACACAGACAGAACATTAACTACAGCAATCACTCTTACAGTATTAACAAGAAATCTTATGTCAAGTTTTTTATGAAGATATTAGTTTTTATTCTTTAATTTATGATAAATAACTGTTTATCTGGAAGACTGCAGGATTATTAAATTTAAAAGTTGTTCAAGCAAAAAAGCTTTCTGAATTTCATGTTTCAACACAAGTACTTTTTCTTGAGCAGCTTGACGACTGCCACGTATTTTAATTTTAAAGAGACTGTACTCTGCCACAAAGAAAAAGAAAAAAATGTCTAAAACAAGAAACAAAAAAAAAATAAAATAAAAAATATCAAGATTATCTTATCCTGTAAAATTCTTCGGAATTTGCGCTATACAGCAAATACTTTATTTTCTCTGGAATTGCCATATTTTCTAACCTGTCACTCCGTGTACTATGCGGCGAAAAGTTTACAAATTTTACTTCAAAAACTAGTTTAAAGTATGAGAGATCAAATTTAAAGTGCATTGAATTCTCGGCTCTAGAATTTCTAAGAAATGTACCATAATTCTTTGCTGCTTTTGTTTCTGGGAGGAGTATACGATTTCAAAATATTGGTTAAAAACTTGGCAGATTTATACGGTTTTAAAAACGACGTGCCATTTGTGTCAGATGACGAGGTTTCCCAAAACGAAATGTTTTGAACAAATTTTACAATGCTTTGTCATCTATGCCTTACTGAGGCTTACAGAGGCCTGCATTGATTTAGTTGAAAAGGCGACCTAGATTTTTCTCCAAAATAAGTGCTTAAAACCCAACAGCTGAAAAAATTGACTGGGTTTGTTTATACTCGTAAACAATTGTTTCATGCAGAATAGCAGCAAAGTTACACTTGAACAACTATAACTTCTGTAATCACCTGTTTATTTTAAATTTTATTCAATTCTACCATAAAATACGAATCTTTTTAAAAACGTTCCAAAATTGTTTCAAAAAAATGAAACCATAAAGATTTTATCTTTTTTTCTTATTTCTATACTATAATCTAAATGTGTATTCTTCGCCCTAATTCTGATAAACAAACTTGTTAAGTGTTGCATAAAAAATTGTTAATGCATTTCAAAATAACGTTTCCAGCAAATTAATTATAATTTGTTCTGAAAGTTTAGTTGAGAAGTTTAGTTGTAAATATGTTATAAATTATCCAACACCTTCTGTAGAAATTTCTCTAATATCAACAATATTTTTTTCGTTGAATGGTGAACTGTTAGCTTACAACAGCGAAATACCATAGTGATAAGGAAAGTATTGATAACATTAAATAATCTATTAAAATGATCGAGTATGACACAATTCATTTCTGCTGCAGTACTTAAATATCAATTTATAAGTTTCATGCTTATTTCCTCACCTTATGCCCATATAGGCATTTTATTAATATCAGTAACTTCACAAACTGATTTATGTATTATGCCACTTTTTCTTTTCCTGACTCTACTACTACTTTTGTTCTCAAAAACGTTAATCTAGATTTATTCTTCAAAGCACAATAACAATTATAGAGAATTAGTGAACGAAGTGCTGACAAATTTATATCATCCTTGCACTCTTGTAGAGAATTTTCGTCTATTTTTTAAGTTTTGAAATAGAATTTAAAGAAATAAAAAGATGGATTGTGGACAGAATTTCGGTCAGCTATAGAGATTTTATCGGTACAACAATATCAATAAATGAAAAAATTTTGATGCAATGACTTATCTTTTTATTTTAACTATTCTCTTTTTAACTAGAATTTTTGCTGTTGTCGAAATTTTTTTTACCTATTTTTCAAGGCAATTCTTACGTTACAATTGACTCTTTCAATGTTTTTAACCGACGCTTACTAAACAGAGTATCAAAACTTTTAATCTTTGTAAAATAACCAACAATAAAACTTTCCTCTCACCTGATTTGTACAGTTGCAAACATTTTCTAAAATTGAGCAAAAAAGTTGACTTTTTCTGTTTCTTGCAGATGGAGCACTACCACGAGGAAACTCTTGACGAATATGCCAAAAATGGCGAGTTAGATGCCCTCTGTAAACTGTTGAGTAGCAACCCAGACAGCAATGCCGAAAAGATTGAGGCGCGTTTCTAACCGAAAATACGTTAATACATTACATTAGCCACCTAAGTTTACCGTCATTTACTCAAAAATTTATCTTGCGTTTATTTTAGAATAAACTATCGCTTAAAAAACTTTTTAATTTTTTTTCATTTTTAAAGAACTTCTTTTAAAAAGCTGACACTAAAATGAAAAAGTCGTGAGATGGAAACCAAGTTAAAATTTATCACTTATTTTTTCAAAGTTGTTTTTTTATAACTTTTTGTGACTAACAGAATAAAATTAAGGAAACATCATTGCCATTTTGTCATTCTCTGGAATTTTTAAAAAATTATTTTGATTACTGCTTTTCAGCACTGCTCTTTTATACTACTCTCATAAATTTCTCTCAACGATAATTTTAAAAATTAAAGCAAGAACTGAAAGTAAAAATTGCTAAACGATGCTTGTAATGTTTTGTTTAAATGACGATATTTCCTGCTTATACATAAAAAAAAAACTTTGCTGAAAATTCCTATTTTTATTATCACTTGTTACTGAAGCTATTCTTTTTAGTCACTTCTCATCAAGTATTTTCTGAAGCAAAATATTTATATTCTTCCTATGTACCAGAAGACTATTAGTCATTTCTCGCTCTATTTATTCTTACATTTTTGATCTTTTTAAGCCTGGTAAAAGTTATTTAAATATGTTTTTTTTGAATAGTAGTTGAAAATGTTTATTGCTTCATAATAATTTATCATACTTGAATTGGAAGAGGGCAAAGATACAATATGCGTTTATTTTAGAACAAATTATTGCTAACAGCGTGCGAGAATGAGCAACTTGAAATTGTTTCGCGCTTAATTGAACAAGGTGTTGACATCAATACGACAGATGAGGATGGGGTAAGTTGTGTTTTTGCAGTAGCGGAAGAAACGCTTTGCAGACAATTTGCTGTATCTTTAGCCACTTTATTTTAATCATCATTCGACCACTGAAACCTTTTGAAATGGTTTTTTTTCAGCGCCTTTTATACTGCAATTTTGGTTTTATTAAAAATAAACATTGTAATAGGGCTAAGCAACTAAGCAACAATTTTCCTGCAGTTTGTTGCGAAATTAGTTGTTAAACAAGAAAAATAAATTGATAAACTTTTAAGTCTTACTTGAGTGCAATTAAAACTTTTTGCATTGTTATTAACTTTGATCTAAGAGCGCTGTTCCTTTTCTACCTCACTGGCTGTCTAAATATATACTTCTATATGTATATATACATATAATATACTAGAAAAACGACATGGCATAATCGTTTAGCTTTTGAGTGATGCCATCCTACATCAAACATTCTTCCAAAATGACGTCTGTGTCAAATTGCCGCAATTTTCGCATGTCTGGTTTATGATAAGTAATCTAATATAGGCGATGAAATACTTAATACAGTACTCAAAGTTGAATTGCCAAAGCTGAAGTTGTACAGATAAAGTTAAATTCAATGACAGGAATTTTCTATTACTTTAGAGAACACCTCTGTGGATCGCGACTGCAAAACATGACAAGAGTATGATTGAGAAGTTGGTGGGACAAGGTGCTAACGTAAATGCAACAAGTTTAAATAAGGTAAAGGCATAACAATATTAAATCAAATCTAAATGACGAAGAAATTAAATGAGTGAAAGAAATAGGAATATTTCTGGTATTTCAAAAGAATAGCGAAAACGGGAAGAAAGCCAACATTGACCTTGATTTTGCGACAAAGAGTAAAAATTTAATAAAATTAAATTTTATAAAAATGACACTTTATCCGCAAAAAAATTGCGTATGTGCTCTTTTACAATCCTCAGGACACACAAAAATGCCCTGATGTCTCACAGCAAATCTTTAATTAA